TTTTAGAGAACTTTTGCCTTACACCCAGATGTAAGGCAGATGCTGTGATAAAAAATGTAGAGCCTCCATATTGCCTCTTGTTGCTGCTGGGTTAAACTTAACGTACACCTTTAAAAATACTCTACAAGCCTCACTGGTCTGGTATCTTTTTTTTTTTTCTTTTTTCTTGCTTCTTTTCAAATTGTCTGTTTTAATTTCTTCTCATTCCTTTGATTCCTTTTCTTTCTGGCTGCAGCGGCCAACCAGAGGGAGACACTCAAGTCTCCATTCCACCTGAAGGAAGAGCCCAAAGTGGAGGAAGCGTTGAGCCCTAGACCATCCTCCCAGTCCCAGAGCCAGGTCCAGCCAAGCTTCCCTGCGACTTTCTGTCAGGACGGGCCAGTGGGGGCTGCAGCAGCCACAGAGCGCCAAGGGCCATTGAAACCAAGGGAAGGAAGCCCAATGGCTAAGAACAGCTTGCTGAGCCAGGATATCAACGTTAAGGTGGCCTCTGAACTGCTGATTAAGCTTTCAGGTAATTTTAAATCTAAGCAAAAGATTGATGGATGGATGAATATACTGTATTTCTTAAGTTTGTGTAAAACACTTGAAAACGTAAGAAGAACAGTACAGAAGTATTTCTTGGACACAACAAACCATGCTCTGTGTTATTGATATTTGTGGTGCTGGTCGGCTGTTTGAGTTTCAGATCAGCCAATAGCAGCTCAGGAGGTTACCTGTAGGCCAAAGGTTATGACACTGACTGCCATAAAAGGGTTCTGTTGTTTTCTGCCATGGCACACGAAACCAAGCTGAAATTGGGGGCTTCTAAAAGGTGAGCAAAGTGTACCTGTGGGGAAAAAGCATATGTGATGAAATGGTCTTTGTGACTCTGAGGCCTCAGCTCTGGATGGTGGCTGCGAAGCCTTTGTATCCTCTGTGATGATATTCGGGTAACTTGTCTTGACCCTTCATTTTTCTTCTACACTACCCCTCTATGCATTTAGTTTTTGTGAAAACGAAGCAGTACATTGCGCATCAGTTCTGCTTTGTTTTGTGCAACAGCTTTTTTTTTTTCCAAAACAATGTCCTCAAATGGCAAGAAGATATATCTGCTTGCTATATTGAACTTAAAACTCAACCCTGACTTCCCCCTTGGACCATGACAGACAGTTAAACGCTAAGATATTTGACACGCACCATGTTTCAACCTGTTTGGACCACTCTGACATCATCCAGTGCAGCGTGATTTAGCCTTTACAGCTTCTGGTTTGAGCTCAGCAAGAATGTTAGTAACAAGTCCTCGGGCAAAGACTCAAACCTTCTTTCTGTTGTAGCACATTGCATGTGCTACCCTACTGTTGTTTTTCAATTACCACTCACTTTGTGTCACTGCTAAATAAAGTTTAAAGCTGGTGTTTATTTTAGCCTAAATCACTACTGAATGCCAGGTCCAGTTCAAGTGTGTTATGGACAGGTGTTTGTCCACTGTGGGCTGCTGAGTGTATCTCTCAGGCAGTCAAGAATGAAATTTGCTGAAGTATGTATCAGTATGTACTGAACAGAAGTGACTTCTGTAGTTATATGATAAGCAGAAAAATGTTCTTCCTGATTTCACAAATGTATTTCAAATTGTCGTTATTCTAATACCCAGCAGGCCTCCTGAACTATATTTCCTTTGGAAAAAAAAAATACAGAGTAATTTCAACATTGGAATGATTAGTATGCTAGAACTGTGCGGCCATAAAATTTACAATGTGACACATTTGGGCAAATATGCATCCACAGTGGTAAAAACCACAAAGTAAATGGCAGTCTGATGGTGGCGCAGTGGGGCGTTGCTCCATCCGCGGCTCTTCATCCTGTGCCAGTGTGTGCGTGCTTGACAGACACCTCACACACCGGTTGCCATTGTTCTCTCTGGGTTGACTGGTGTTCAGAGTGACTCATGCTGGCTGGAAGCTCTGTGGTACTACACGTGTGCTGCTCCACTGCCTGCCCCCAGGTCACGTTTCCCTGTGTGTGTGTGTGCTTTTGTGTGAGTGTTTGAGGAAGACAAAGATGCTATGATTACTACTTTAAAACAACAGGAAAACCTAATTTAAGATATTGGCCTTTGTGTTAAATCTGAGAGAGAAACTAAGAGAATGATGTGGGCAGTATATAATTCCTTCATTGTGCTGCCTCCACCTATGTTCTTTGTTTCATCCCTCTTTCTCTCCCATCATTTTTGCCATTTCCAATCCCTGCACTGATGTTATCGTGCCAGTTTATTTGGTCCTCAAGCAGCATGGCCAGCATTTATCCCCTCCCATCACTTACACTAGCTCTGCAAGGTTGACCTAGGTTAGGGAAAGATGCTGCAGCGTTCATCCGTCCGCTGGCTCCCTCTGCCCCCTCACACAGTCCTCGGAGCGCAGTGCCGTCCATTGCCATGGCAACAGCGGGGGCGGTAGATGGAGAGGGCTGTCTAGAGTGACAGCCTTGACAAGAGTCTGGACCCTCAAATGACCCTGGGGGGAAGGGAAGGAGAAAAAGATGGCGAGGAGGAAAGGAGAGAGCCAGGGAAAGGTCAATGCCGTTACAGTCACGTGTGATTACGGTCATGAGGTTCAAGGGTATATACACTGTAACCTCTCTCTGTCCCCTGTTAAAGGTCAACCTTGGAACACAATAACGCAGTGAGAATACTTGAATAGGGAAATCACATTGGGGAGTTTAGACTAAGCATTTTCTTTGTTCGGAACATCACTATTTGTCTAATAAAAAGTGCTTATTTTCCCAGTCTTGCTTGTCTTACAGCAAATGGACACAGCCTAATTAGATTTCTGCTGCTCATCCTTCCTCGACCATGGCATCGGACAGTCAGAGCAAGTGGGGTTGTCATCATTACTGCCCATTGTGCTGTAACATGAGTTGCATCATCCCTTTAACTAGGTCACTTCTTCTTCTCTCTCCTTCCCCCCCCTCTCTTCTCTCTTCCTTATCAAACATTGGTTGGTCATGTTGAGTCGCCTTGCTAGCGCTACCTCCCCCACATCTGTTTAAAACCAGGCTGCTGGTGTCTGGGGGCTAATTACGCCGGGCTAAATAGTCCCTGGCGCCAGCGGCTAACGTGTCCTAGCAGATGGGCACTGGTGTTGCAGGGCAAGGGGAAACATGGCGTCACAGGAAGGGAGGGAGAAGGGGAGGGGGGGTACAGGGCCCTAGGTGGTGCCCTGGCAGACTGGCATCGTGTGGGTAACAGCCGTGCCACCCACTCACCATCCAGCCACCCTCACTATAGGTGTGAATTCACACTTTGTACTCGCTTAACTCATTCCTCATTCCTTAGGAACAGGCCTTCCATCTCTGAGGACATTTTACAGGCCCTCTCCCCTCTACGCTGCTCGTTACCTTGCTAATAAAAGTTACATTAAACAATTTTAACCACTAAGGTTCCGAAAGACCAAACAGATAGCAACACATTTTTAGCTCACGAGGTTCTTTTTGTTGATATTAATAGAAGATAAAAAAAAAAAACCTACTTTCACATCCAGCAGGCACAAATTCAACATGGACATTCCATCTGAGCCTTTTCTGGTTACAAACCAACTTTAGTATTGCCTGGTGTTTATCCCTTGCTTGGTCCACCAGCTCCAGTGATAGCTGATGCGCATCGTTTTAAAAGAAAACTGTATTGTTTTAGTTTTGTCTGTGCGTCAGAGCAATTAGCTGAATGCAGCAAGAAGCTAGAAAGTGGGTGTTGATTTCCAGAAGCATTGGCAGTTCTTGCAGCAGTGGCCAAAGCTGATTGATTGAGTGATAATTAACGCTGTTTATAATCAAAGGATGCCAACTCCACCTGGCTTCTCCTCAAAAGATTTCACATGATTGCCTCTGCTGTAGGAGCCACAAATGACTGACAGACCACATGTTGTCGGCCTACAGTGTGGATATTTTCACTGTCAACAGGATAATATGACAGTTACAATTTGTAGGGTTTGAAAAAACAACTCCTGACTTACCACTTTTAAATTTAACTAAAATATTCCTAATTTTAATTCTGCTGTACCACTTCAGTTTGCTCTTAAAATGCATTAATTAAAATGCAACAGATAAAGTGGCAGAATAACATCTATGCTGTAACAGATGATGAGTACAGATACACAGAGGTTTGCATTGATTTTCTTTTTTCAGCACCCTGGTTGGTTGTGCATGATTTCCTCGAGGTAACCACAGTGGATCACAGAACTTGTGTTACACAATTCAGGTAGGGATTTAACCAACTAAAGTGGAGGGCTCTCCTAAAGTCTAAAATCAGTTTACAGTTGACAGCTTTATTGACATTTGTGCTTACATTGCATTAAACGTGTATTTTCTTTGTGTCTGCTGGTTGTAGAATGTGTTTAAATTACATTATTCAGCATTATTATGTAATTGCTGCATATACGACTGATGATAGAATGACCAAATTACTAACTCAGTGATGGTGCACTAAAACAAATGTGGTCCTTTTCTTTTTTTTAATATTTATTTTTACAGCTATTCAGTTTCTAATATTCAAACAGCCAATTTTCACCAAGACACCAACACATTGCCTTGTTTATATTACAAGTCATTGCACTTTTCCTCCCACCTTTGCACCATGTACAGTAAAGCACAGCTGAAGGATGACAAACAGTTATTTAATCTTAAAAGTAATCAAGTAAAACAGAAATATTTTCAATAATACAGGATCTCAATTTGTTTGTCTTCCAGCAGAAAAATGCCAAAGAGCACTGAAAAAAATAAATAAATAACTTATTGTATTAAAAATATAGATTTATATCTTAAAAATATATCTTTCCCTTGTTAGTTAATAAATGAACGTAAGGCTCATTAATTATCTTCACTCTTGCATAAAAGGTTTCACTATTTGCTCAATATAGCTTATCACAGCAGACTGTATAAGCGGTTCTGATTCACAACACTGGCAATACTGTACAGTATTACTTTATGCTAAGATCTACACTGCTCTGACAGTGTCCTCATCATGCCCCCTCAGTGTGGCCGCTCACTGACCTCTCTTACTCCCACCCTCCCCATGTCCACATCTTTCTCTCTGTCTCACTGGCTTCTTATCATTGCTTATAGTTCTATTTACAGAATGCAGAGCGGATTCCTTTTGCCCCTTGCTGCATGCGTTTGTTTCCCCAGGGCAGGTAGTTTTATATGCGGAAGTGATTGACGGAATTACAGAGGCAATCACTTGTCGTGTTTTGTCTTGACCTTGTATGATAAAGCATTACTAGCCCTGGATCCACTCCGGCTTGTGCCAAATGTTTTTGTTTAGGGCTGCTTTATAAGGGCCATATCTGGATCCTGATGGGCTGTTTATCAAGCACACTGCTCTAGAGTCAGATGTAGCTGCAGTTTGCGACCGTTGGAAGGCTGAACTACTGAGAGCTAGCTGGTCGAGGATCAATTGCAGCAGCAGCTGTCTGTGAAGTCTGCAGGCAAGGCTGCTGTGGCTCCCACATGACATGCAGTCTCCACACTGCAGCCTTTGAAGCGCATGAACTCTTCACCCCTGTCTGAGCAGGTCGGCTAGAGAGCAGGAGAATAGAGAGATTGAGAGAGAGAGAGAGAGAGAGAGAGAGGGATGGGGGCAGGGATAGAGAGATATGGAATAACAGAGCAGGGAGAAGGGTAGACTAGGATAACGGGAGGGGGGGAGAGGTGGAGAGGTTGTCATTTAGGCTCTAGCCATTCTTCATCCTTCTCCCCCAGCCCTTCTCTCCCATCCCGCTTTCTTCTTCTCCTCTCTAACCCTGGGGTGTTCTTTTTCTGGCACCGTTTGACAATTTCTTCCCTCTCCTTACCCTTCCTCTTTGCCTCTTCCTGTGTCTGTCTCCCCCCCTCACCGTCTGTCTGTCCAAGTTTTTGTTCCTGTGCTGTTGATGCATCGCAGTGGTGCAATAAATTGACGTTGCATACATTCAATCACTAATGGTATGTGATGTTTTTTTTTTTGTACACGTGGTTACAAACCTACCCTGGGTCCGTACACTCCTACTGTATATTCTCAGCGAAACAGACTGTCACGTCCACACAGATTCAAGTAGACACCTGAGGGCAAAGTTGATCACTAAAAACAGAACATCGCACAAACCCCAGTCACTTTCATTCTGACTCAAAACTTGAGTAGTGCTGTGTCAGAGGGAACAGGGTATGTATAGTGCATAGAGTAACTTGGAATACAGATCACATTCAGACACATTATAAAACTGCAACATGGTTGCCATTACAAACCACATGGAGCTGAAAGTTTTCACTTGCAGTCTGTTAGGGGACATGTAGTCTAAATGTTTATCATAGGTTAATAAAGCACGTGGAGTGCTTCGGGAATAGGGTCTGTGTGCGTATATTGAAGCAGACAATGAAACTAATACCCAATTAAAACTTAAAGTTCACTGCTTTGTTAAAAACAAGAATGTGTGCACGTGTTCTTAATTGTTACACCTGCTCTTACATTAACAAAAAGTTTAAGCAATGCACTGTTGAAACTTTCAGGAAAATGAGGAATGTTTGTAGGGACATGGCACAAAATCATGTACCTCAGATGTAACCAATTAATAATTGTATTTCTGTTTTTGTGTACCTTTTGCTCCCCTCTTTAAATGTTGATGTTGACGATCACCATGCTCCCTATCTAACGAGGACAGCCAGTCGAACTCTGCAGTGGCTGTTGTGCGTTTTGTTGCAAGATTAATATTCTTCTACATCCTTGCCAAATTATAATTTTTTTTTTTTTTTTTATATTTCTAAAGAAAATGTAAACCACCAAATACTAGTTTTCTGTATAAATGTGTATATGTTATATTTATTTATATAAGGTTACTGGTACACTTTGAAGTAATATTAGGAGGAACTGGAGCAACACTGACACTGAAGAAAAGCTATGATATTTATTTTATAGAAAGGGCACAGGCTGTTTTGCACACACACACACACACACACATTCTTCCAGACTCGATTCTGTGGCCTAATGGCAGCTGGTGTATCACAGAGAAGGCTTCTGCACCAGAGGGGATGACACATACACGCATAGACACACAGTGCACACACACTCTCTTACAGACACACAAGCTGGATTCAGGCAAACTGAGGGCTGCTTTTTATGGCTTCAGAACATTAGGTCAAAAAGCCAAATCTATTATCAGTGTGGGAGTAAGGCCACATTTTAATTTTTTATTATTTTTTTTTATTTTGTGACAGGTAGACTTCTGATCTGGCCTGCTGTGATGTGATACTTTCAACGTGGTGTCGGTGTGTTTATGATCAAATATTTTCTCTCTGTCGTGTGATCTCGCTGTAATGGCTCTTTGGGTTGTGAGCATGTTTGTCCCGGCGCTGGAAGCTCAAGTACATATAGTGTCCTTTAGTACGAGGGTGTGTTTTTTTGTGTGCAACTGTGTGTTTTTGCAGCACAGCAGTCCACTCAGCCTCTGTCGTTAGGGTGGTGATCCAATGATGGAAGCTTGCGTGTCCCTTGGTTGACCCTTACAGAGCAGTGCCCCCTACCCCTCCGCCCTCCCGTCTCTCTCCTCCTCTGCTCTGCCCCTCCATCAGCCTTTCCTAGGTTACTGTTGGCCAAATCTGGCCACCTGATTAAGGGATTAGTGGGGCTGATGGTTGTCAGTGTCCCCCACATGCTGGCTACTACCACTAAACCAGACACCTGGACCTCAGGGAGGAGGCAAAGGGAAGGGGGCGGGAGTTTACACTTTAATTCATCCACATAAACACACACAAACACTGTTTCAGTAGACACTCTTGCATGTCCACACATGCCCACAATGGGACTGTTGGTCCAGTCTTGGTGTCTCACACTGGCTTCGTTCAGCAGAGGAGTGGAGAATGTGAGGGGAGGGGTGGCAGGGTTAGGACAGGGTTACTGTCTTGTATCTCCCCTCCCCTCCCTGCCTCATTCTCCTGCTCTTCTAACCTTCCCCTACCCCTCCCACTGCTCCCGATGCCCTGCCAAATTCATATATGCCATAATCGTGCTGAGTCGCCATGTCAGCAGCACTGTATCAACCCCACTGCTTTGTCTTGCTCTTGCTCGTCGCCACACTGAGACACTACCTCCTGCCATCACTACAGTCAAAAGAGCTCGGATATGCAGATGCTAATGGATGTCCCAGTCATGTTTGTTTTTCCTCCGATCCAATTTATTTATTATTTTTTTCCACATGATCAGTACAGCCTAAAGTAGACCTACATTTAATCTAGTAAATTTAGCCACAGAGACCATTAGAGAACCACTTTCTAACAACGGAATAGCTCTGCATTAAGAAAATATAGCCTGTCTAACAGTTTCCTTTTAATAGTTTCCAATATTTTTTTATGGCGGTCTATAGTCTTTAGTTTAATATCCGTAAAGAGATGAGAGTCAGTGTTTGAGTCTGCAGATCGGCTAGGGACATTCCTAACAGATGCCATCTCGACTATTTTTAGCCTGCCTTCTGCAGCTCACCTTTTGAACTTGCACGAGAAGTTAGTCAACAGATGTTTTCCCCATTTCAGTCATTGTTTATGTGCTGCCTTCAATCAGTGTCATATCCAGCACATGTAGCTATTATAAACACGGAATAATTGCTTCTTAGTTAACGTTTAAAGTGTTGTAGTGTCTTTCTGTTTGCTACAGTGAACCTACATGAGCTGCTGGCGCCCTCCCCCAAGAGAGAGTTTGACCTCCCGATGCCCTCGTGCCCTAGTAATTACACAGCAAGATGCTAACCGGCTCAGCTCAGCTTTGGCGGCAATGCTCATGTTTTGTCTGTTATTTGGATTTCCCTGTTTCAGCTTCGGTTATAATCGTACATCACCTTTAAACATCCATGTTTGATTATTTGACCAGACCAATTGTGTAGATTATCTAAGTTGGTGGCAATATGAAAATGTATAATCCTCAACTGTCCAAATCTTCAATAAAAGAAATAAGTTATCCTGTGTCTGACTCATTATGTGCGCCATCTATTGCATGTTTGTCCATCCTGAAAGAGGGATCGCTCCTGTGTTCCTCTTTCTTTGGGTTTTTTTCCATATCGGGCCAAAGATAGAGTGAGTTGTGTGTCTTATTGATTGTAGAGCTTTTGAGTCAGATGTGTGACTTGTGGCAGATTGAATAAGACTGACTTGAGTTGTACAGGATAAGCACATGTGACAGGCGATTTTGACAGAAAAACACATCAAATTAAGCCTTTGTCTGATCTGCAGCTACAGTGTAATCATTTGTGTTCAAAGTATTCTGCAGTCAGGGTTTTGTGGAAAACTTACAGTATGTGTGCTTCCAGATTTCACTGCAATTCATTATTCCTGGATACAAATAACAAATATTTATTACAATTATGAAAGTTTACAAAACATTTTGAATGCACTTGCTTTACATTTTGGGATACATTTTTTGCCAGCTGGTTGTTTTTGAGCACTTGTAATTTCAAGTTCTTTTGAGGTCTCAATTTACAATTTGATTTACAATTTTGATTTTGTTAACCCCTACACATTTTAATGTAATGCAGTACAACAGTTGTACAATAAATACAAGGTTTTACACTTTCTTTTGCTGCTCCATGTCTTTAAATAAAGTCGATAGAGTAATAGAAACAGCTTTCAAACTGTAGTAGTCAACAGTATCACACTGTTAAAATACTCACACTTAAATAGGAATACATCAGTATTACCAGTATGTGTCTGTATCAGCATCACAATCTAAATTTGAGTGATTGTTTAAAGTACATGTATGTATGTAGCTCAGTCTCTTTAATAAGAGTCTAACCAGTAATTTCCCTCTTGTTTAATCTTCTGCTGCAGAGAACAACAAAGATGCCCAGTACCAGAAGGTGAAAGTAAAGGCAGAGCCCATGGAGGTGGACCCACCCCCTGCAGAACTCACCCCACCTGCCTCTCACCTGCTGGCCTTCAGCACTTTAGGGGCGAGTGAGAAGAGTGAGCCGATGAGCAACCTCCCGGAGACGTTGTCCCGCCCCCAGAAAGACCTCTTCTCCCAGGACATATCGGTCAAAATGGCCTCCGAACTACTGTTCAAGTTGTCAGGTATGTTCCTTCAAGACAGACAAACACAGTTCTCTGAGCAACAGTAGAACACACACACACACACACACGTACAGCAACATGTCTGGGTTTTTCCTGCAGCCCGGCAGCGTAAACCTTGGACAGTTTTTGATACTTGACCATAAAACCTACATGTTTCCATTTCCATCCTCTGGTGGCTCTGTAGTAAAGTCGAGGATATATGATGTGTAATGACACCCTGCTTTTACCTGTATGGCCATGAAAGTGACATTGAAGCAGCAGACAGCTGTTTGTATTGCTAGATTAAGACAGAGCTTTGAGGTGGAACCATCACCCCCCAGAGAAAAGGTGCAGATGTGAGTGTGTGTGTATGGGGGNNGGGGGGGGGGGGGGTGGTCAGGCTTGTAGTCCTGGGCTGTGACCCCGGCTTTATGCAGCCTGTGATTGCTTCGCTTAAATGCCATATAGAGAAACGAGCTCGTGTAAAATCTTTTTTTTTTTTACTCCTCTTGCTCTCACACATATTCACAAATTCACACATTGACAGTCTTTCTTTCCCACACAGTCTTGCATGCACACCTTTACACACTCACACAAGGCCCCATGGGGAGTGGTGTCTGCACAAATGCCCCCTCTTCCCTCCTCCCTCTCCTCCTTTCTCTCATTCTCTCTCTCCCTCCCTTGACTCGTTTTCAGACATGCCGGCTCAAGCACACTTGGCTGCACACGCTCTCCCCCTGCACTTCCCCTCCCTCCCTCCCTTTACATTTCTCCCGTGCGGCATCTCCATGGCAACGTGGAAAGAGACCTCTGTCCTTGGCGAGCAGTGTGACGGAGTGGGGTGTTTAGGGTGGGGGTAGGGGGGGGGTTGTAACGGGGGGCAGAGGATAAGGAGGGTAGAGAGGGCAGCAGGGGTACACAGTATGCCCACCCAGGGAGGCCAGGGCATCGCTAGCCTGGCAACAGCGACAACCTCCCCCTTAGAACTGGGTTTGAATGTGAGGGGGACTGGAACAGAGTGGGCTGCTGTCACACAATGAGCAATCAATATGAATTACCCAGAGCAGTAGGACCTCAGAGACACATCAGTAGCAAGGTCGCTCTGAACACTGAGATGGTTGCAGCTTTGAAATTCACTTCAGTACATCGCCTTGTAACTCACACATATGGCTACATTCTCAGGCATCTATGTATGGTGCTCTTTACCGCTGAATGCTGAAAACCCAACGCTGTGAGTCGTAATAGCTGATTTAACAATGCTTGCTTTAGTCACCACTTAAGAAACCTCTATAGGTCATTTGTATTTAAGTCACAACCACTCTGATTGACTAGAAATGACTTCTTTGTTATACTGAACAAGCACAAGAACAATATCACGATGGGCTCCGACCATGTTGGACCTAAAGCAACTCGCTCACTGAAACAGTGCTCAGGTTCTCTGGTATAAAGAGGTGGACATGCATGGCATCCGTTTTCTTCTTAAACATGCGTGACTACAGGTGCATGCAACAGAAGCTGTACTTAGCCTGCACGGTAAACAGATTATAGGCTTCATGTGTGATCATGACAAGAACACAGGTGTCATCTTAGGTGTCAGAAGGACGGGTGTGAACACTGACAAAACTGTAAAGTTGTGGAAACCTTGGGAGACATCAATTCAGTTATCACCACTTTTCACTCTTTGTTATAGTATTTTTATGTTTGTGTTTATTTGCGGCCTGCGGCCTCACAAAACCCCACTAACCTCAGGAGAAATTATTACATTTTTGTGGAATATAAAGTTAGGCTTGTTAAGCATCAGGAGCTGTCTGATTTTGCTCAGCAGGTGACTGACTGATCGATCACATTGTACAGTGTAATTAATCTGAGGAGCACGTTGCTACGCCGGAAAAAGATAAAAACCAGAATTTTTACAATTTGGGAAAAGTAAAGACAAACATCTGAGCGAGGCACAGTCAGGTGCTGTGATTTGTGAATTGCGGTTTGAAGTTAGTTTGATAATCACCAGTTGTACACACATTTTGTATTTACTCCTCCTAAAGTAGTACCATGAAATATTTGAATATTTTTGCCCTGATTAAAAGCTTTTCAACAGACTTTTCCATTTACATACAAGAGCTCCACCGTACACAAACACATGTGCCATCTGGGTAGTCTAATGTAGATCTGAACAGCCATGCAGATTGTTTTTTTAAAAAGAAAATCATATTGGTGTTGTTGGGCTTGCTTTTGGCCCACAGGTCGGCGGGCCCACCACAGAGACTCCCACTTCTCCAGATGGCCAGTACACCCCTGCTGGCATGGCGAACCTGTGCTTTACTAGCCAAGTTAAACTTGAAGGGATCATATAGTGCTTGTGTCTCAGTTCTATAGTGGCCAAAGTGCGGGGAAGTTTTAGGACATTTTTGGTAATAATTTATTAACTGACTGAGTAATTTACAGTGGCAGCTCTTCTCCACAATCTTTAACCTTCAAAACACTAGTTTCTTAACTTTTTGTTTTCTTACTAGCTTCTTCTGGAGCCACCAACCACATTCTTCATCAAACACATAATACACATAATTGACTTAATTGTCTCAGAGATGGTTCAGTTTTTATCATGTGACCTCACTATGGAACTATGATAACAGGTGGTCGTATTTGGGAGGTGGATTGTAACCCCGGATTTTAATAGATAGTACAATGAATACATAAAAACTGTAAAAAATAAATATATGTATAAATTATAACGTTTTTTTTTTGTTTGTTTTATTTCAGAAAAAGTCAGCAAATCCAACAACCACAAAGACGGCAACATGGTGGGAATAAACAGGTGAGTCAATAATACCGTGTGTATTTGCTGTTGAGTTTAGAAAATATTTTTTCATCACTAAATAATTTAAAATGATGAAAAATGAGTTTAGTAGCCATGTAACTGTTAGTGTTATGTATCATGTTTCAGTCCATTCCTGGACGAGTGCTTCAGACAATCACCCTTTAACTCGCGCTCCAAGAGCTCTTCCCCCGCAGAGGCCAGCTCTTCTACCAGGGCAGCATTTCACGGTAAGACGCATGTAACACACGCACACACACACACACACACACACATCACACAGGCACACACACGAGGAACATCATATTAGCTAGTAGTAGTAGTAGAGGAACACAACATGTCATCACGTGAGCACCTCTTGTTGCAGGCGGACTATTACGTTTTAGAGCTGCAGTGTTATCGATTTAGTTGATTAGTCAGTTGACAAAAAATTCATTAGCAACTATTGTGATAATCAATTAAGTGTATTGGTTGTTTTTCAAGCAAACATGCTGCAGCTTTTCCTGCTGTTTTTCCCTGTCATAACATTTAACAACATTAAGATACATTTCATATCTTTACGTTCTGGACTGTTGGTCAGACAAAACAAGCAAATTAGAGACCTCTTGAAATCTAAGAAGTTGTGAAAGGCATTTTCAATCTTTTCTGCAGATTAATCGATAATGAAAATAATCATTAGCTGCAGCCCCAGTGTCTTTGTTTGTTGTTTTACCATTTTACACAAAGAAATAACAGACGGAAAAGTAATGTGCAGCTGGCCAAAACGAGGAAGTAATTAACTGCCAATGGACAGTAGTGCCGCGTCCTCCGTAGTACAGTATCTTCAAAGGCTTGCATCCAAGGCTTCATGTTATTCTCAGTGTTGCTTGGAGAAATCACTGATTATGCAGAGATGCTCATTAAACACACGCAGTACATACATGTGCATGCACATAACACACTTACCCTCTCACACAGAAGCTTGTAGCCTGGGAGCTACTCGACATCGAACTACGCGTGAAGACACCTTTTTAAATCCGAGTATACGGCCACAAGGACACATCACAATTAACCACCTCCAACTTTACATGATCCCCCCTCCTCTCCGGTAAACCTTCCTCTCCCCATTTCATATTTAGAGCTCCATCCAGCCTTTCTGCACTCTCACACGTTTTCCCAACCTGAAGGCCTCTGCCCAGGGCATCCCCCGTCTCCCTCTCCTCCCCTCTTCCCTGGCATCCCAGAACTTCCCCCCATGTTCCTTTGGCAGTGAGAGATCCAGAGGTTAATTAGCTTGTGCCAGCTTTGCCTGTCCCTCTGCCAGTTAATGAAAATCTGATTGGCTTCTGGGTGTCAAGAGTGTCCTGAAAGTTAATTCGCCCAGCCCATCTCGCCTTTCCCTTGTGTGCTTAAGCTTCAGATCCAGCCTCTGTTGCTCGCTCTCCTACAGTTGTACTGTTTTACTCTTTTTGTCTGCTTCATATTTGTCTAGCTGCGCTTGTTCTTTTTCCTTTAGTGCGCTTTAATTTTCTTTTTCTCCCTGTTTTATTTCCCATTGCTCCAATTATTGGTAAGCTTTTCTAGTTGGTTGGTGAACTTTACTGTCCTTCCCTGTAAGTTCACTTCTCCTACACAAACCCAAACCCACCACACTTTTTGGACCCAGCACTAAGAGACTTGTAGGTTTAGTAGATTTGTAAGTGATGATCACTGTCTTGAAACTTGTGCATTCAAAAATAATTACTGCAGATATTATTCGACAATGTTCCACACTGTATTGCATTTATAGAGGAAAAAATACAAATATCTGTTATTATTGTCAAGGTTTGATTAAAAAACAGGATATAAGAGTTGTATACACAATTTATCTGCATGCGATGACTATTAATGTATACATAAAAACTGAGCCTTTCCCTTTAAGTCAGAAAGAAAGAATAAGTGAGGAGAGGTTCGTGTGATCCCAGTGCGACCTCAGGAGTTTGCCTCTCCCTTCCGTCTGGGTTCTAGCACCATCCTTCATTTCTTGTTTGTGTCCCTCTGTCTCCAGCTCTAATAGCACTAATTAAACCATTAACCACTTCAAGGCCCACGCCACTCCCTAACTGGCTTAATCATCAGTGTGTTTGCCGGGTTGTGACCTCGAGCTGCTGCCCTGACCGGGCTATCCTCTGGTCTCACTTGTGAGTCAGGACAAGTTAATGCTTTTATGTGCTAAGCTTCTGCTACAAGCACCACAAGAAGGTCTAGGATTCTCAGAATAAGCCAGTACACAGAGGGAGTTTGGAGAACAAAAGCGTGAAAAGCCGATCGAAGTCAGATATCGGGTCAGATTCCGACTAATGCGGGAGGCCAGAAGGTTTGTGACCTGCAGGTTGGCCGAGGTCGCAGTAACTCAAGTTTTTTGACATGTCTGGTGTTGTGACACCTTCACCACCTGTGTGGCTTTACTTTATTTACTTACTTTTCAACAAAGTGTTGCTTTAGACTGGTATACTTGAATGCATTTCACACGTGCCCTCACTCAACAATGTCACAGTGGTGAGTCATAGACCTACAGTAGAGAGGAGATAGAGATATTCAGTTCACAGTTGTATAAAAGTGATAAAACCAGCAAATTGTTTCATTGGAGAAGCTGTGTCCAGACAGTGTGGAAATTTTACTTAAAAATAAGCTTAAAAGATTCATTGATTATCAAAATAGCTGGAAATTAA